TTCAACAGAATTGTTCCCTAGGAATTCCACAGTGCACGTGCCTGATGGGAATGTTTATTTTGTACATACACTGATTATTACTGCACTCTCTTCTAGGCTATGGAATAAATGTGGGCTTTGGAGGTTTCATAGCTCCTGGTAAGCTGTGAGTCTGCCCCATTCTTTCCATTTGAGTTGTGGCACAATACAGGAGCTAGTCTTCCAAAGGCAGATGCTTACTTCACTGTTCAGTAACACAAACACTCTGTAATCACTTGAGAGTTTGGTCATAACAACTTACAAAGGTTGAGAAAGTACTTTGGTTCTTTGAAGTCTTATTAGATAATAGCTCATTATCAATTTTAAAAGTGACTATAAGAAGAGTATTTTCATTCATCTAACGTGAACAAAAGACAGAAAATCCATTTATGCTTTGAGTGGTTAGTATAATATCAGTTGAGAAAAACTCATTTAATTCTCTCACTTCTGGTTTCATAGCACTCGTTAATTATAAAAATTACTTCTACCTCCTAAGGAATCTCAGCAACATAATTAATTTGTATAATTATTGATTTTGAGTACCATTTAATCTTTTTTAGTTTTGTTATTCATTATAAATACTAGAGGCCCAGTGCACGAAATTTGTGCACTTGGAGGGGGGTGTCCCTCAGCCCAGCCTGTGCCCTCTTGCAGTCTGGGAGCCCTCAGGGGATGTCTGACAGATGGCTCCTTAGTGCTGCCATGGATACAGGAGAGACTCCTGCCACCGCTGCTGCGCTCACCAGCCATGAGCCCGGCTTCTGGCTGAGCAGTGCATCCCCTGTGGGAGCACACTGACCACCAGGGGACAGCTCCTGAGTTCAGCGCCTGCCCCCTGGTGGTCAGTGTGCATCATGGCGACTGGTCGTTCAGCCCTTCAGTTGATTTGCATATTAGTCTTTTATTATATAGGAATTTTAAAAATAATCACTAATGGCCCTGGCTGGGTGGTTTGGTTGGTTGGATTGTTGTCCCTTACACAAAAAGGTTGAAGGTTTGATTCCCAGTCAGGAACATATCTAGGTTGAGGTTCCATTTCTGGTGGTGGCCGTATGGGAGACAACCAACTGATGTGTTGTTGTCAAATTGGTCTCTCTCTCTCTCTCTCTATCTCTCTCTATCTCTTTCTCGCCCCACCTCCCCACTTCCTTTCTCTAAACATATCCTCTGGTGAGGGTTAAAAAAATAACAATCATTTATGAAAATACATTATTAATTGAAGGGATCAATAAATGCTATTGAACTTTCTTTTCATTTTCATAAGTCATATATCCAGAAACAATAATCATTTAGTTTCAGGGATGCTGGAGTTTGCAGAGGACAAGCAAAAAATGAAGATTAATTCTAACATTTTTTGTAACCCCTGCTACAGAAGAATGAGAAGAAATTTACTTGAAAGTTGAGGTTATTATTCTACAATTGTGACACATATAGCAAAAGACTATACATGGTCAGTGGTCTTAGCTGTGCTTATAACTAGGAAATTGATGGTTTCAGGTGTACAGCATAGTGATTGGATATGTATATAATTTATGAAGTGATCCCCCCAATAAGTCTAGTACCCACCTGGTACCAAACACAGTAATTACAATATTATTGACTGTATTCCCTATGCTATACTTTACATCCACATGACTATTTCATAACTACCAATTTGTACTTCTTAATCCCTTCACCTTTTTCACCCACCTCCCCCAAACCCCCACCTACCTGGCAACCATCAGTTTGTTCTCTGTATCTATGGGTTTGTTTCTGTTTTGTTTGTTCATTTATTTTTTAGATTTCACATATAAGTGAAATCATATGGTATTTGTTCTTATCTGCCTTAACTTCACTTAGCATAATACTCTCTAGGTCCATCCATGTTGTCATACATGGTAAGATTTCATTCTTTTTTTATGTCTCAGTAATACTGCATTAAATATATGTACTGCATCTTCTCTCTCTCTTTTTAAAAAACAAAACAAAAAAAACTTTTTATTGATTATTAGAGAGCGAGGAAGGGAAGAGGGATAGAGAGATAGAAACATCAATGAGAGAGAAACATCAATCAGCTAGCTCCTGTACCCACCCTACTGGGGATTGAGCCCACAACCCAGGCATGTATCCTGACTGGAATCAAACTAGTGACCTCTTGGTTCATGGGTTGATTCTCAACCACTGAGCCATATTGTCTGGGCATGTACCACATCTTCTTTTCCAGTTGTCCATTGATGACTTGTGCTGCTTCCATATTTTGGCTATTGTAAATAATGCTGCAATGAACATAGGGATGCATATATATTTTCGAATTGGTGTTTTGGATTTCTTCAGATAAATATCCAGAAGTGAAATAGCTGGGTCATAAGTTTGTCCTATTTTTAATTTTTTTTAGGAGCCTCCATACTGTTTTCCGAAATAGCTCTACGAATTACAATCCCACAAACAGTGCACGAGGATTCCCTTTTCTCCACATCCTAGCCAACACTTGTTATTTGTTGAATTATTGATAATAGTCATTCTGGCAGGTGTGAGGTGATGTTTCATTCTGATTTTAATTTGCATTTCTCTGATGATTAGTGACATCAAGCACCTTTTCATATTTCTATTGATCATCTGTATGTCCTTTTTGGAGAAATGTCTATTGAGGTCCTCTGTCCATTTTTTAATTGGATTGTTGTTGTTTTTGGTATTGAGTTTTTTGAATTCTTTATAATTTTGGATATTGACCCGTTACCAGATGTATCATTGATGAATATGTTCTCCCATTCAGTGGGTTGTCTTTTCATTTTGTTGATGGTTTCCTTTGCTGTGCAAAAACTTTTTATTTGATGTAGTCCCATTCGTTTATTTTTTTCTTTTGTTTCCTTTGCCCAAGGAAATATATCAGAAAAAATATTACTAAGAGAAATGTCAGAGATTTTACTGCCTGTGTTTTCTTGTAGGATTTTTATGGTATTGAGTCTTACATTTAAGTCTTTAATCCATTTTGAGTTTATTCTTGTATATGGTGTAAGAAGGTGGTCTCTAGTTTAATTTTTTCACATGTATCTGTCCACTTTTCCCAACACCATTTATTGAATAGACTGTCTTGATTCCATTCTATGTTATTGCCTCCTTTATAAAATATTAATTGATTAAATAATTATGTCTGGCTCTTTATTCTGTTCCATTGATCTGTCTTTTATGCCTGAATCATGCTGTTTTGATTATATGTAGCCTTGTAGTGTAGTTAGATATCAGGTAGTGTGATTTCTCCAACTTTGTTCATTTTTCTCAAGATTGATGTGGCTATCCACGATCTTTTGTGGTTCCATATACAATTTTGGATTATTTGTTCTAGTACTGTGAATACGTCATTGGTATTTTGATAGGAATTGTGTTGAATCTATTAATTGCTTGGGTATGTTCATTTTAACAATGTTAATTCTTCCAGTGCATGAGCACAGTATATGCTTCCACTTATTTGTATATTCTTCAGTTTCTTTCTTCAGTGTCTTATAATTTTCTGAGTACAGATATTTCATGTAAAAAAAAAAAAAGGTGCAAGACTTGGCTTTCATTGTCAGAAAGTTAAAACAGAACTAGTTCTTACTTGACAAGATTTGATCACCTTGTCCGCCAAACCTGCACCACACCTACATGCTTATCCAGAACTAGAACCAGTTGTCCTGTCTTGTAGTTTTCCTGTATACAAATGGGCATACATGTTATAGATGAATCTCTTTCTCGCCAGTAAAAAAACCACCAAGTTTTTCAAAACTTAAAAGTTTGGAACCTAGTTTATTCTCTCCTGATGGGAGGAAAATGTTACACCCAAGGTACTTTTGCAAAAAGCCACTTTTATTATTGTAACCTGTCTTTTCTTCTTTCAAATTATTCTTTAAATCACTCTTCCTTGAAATTTATAGGAAACCCCCACCAACATAGCTGTTCCAAGCCCTGCCTGGTCATTCTTGGTCTTAAAAATGTCAACCAAGTTAATTTTTAAATGGATAGGTAATTTTGTTTGGTTTGTTTTATACAGATGTGTAATTTTGTTTTGTATTACTACCATTCATTCTCAGTTCAATTTATTTCTTTCTATTTCTCCTTTCTTAGTACATCATTTTCTTAATCCAATCTGAGAAATTTTTTTCTCACTCTCTGACACATGATGTTTTTTGCCCCCTTGATATATTTTTTATTGATTCCAGAGAGAGGTAGAAACATCAATGATGAAAGAGAATCATTGATCAGCTGCCTCCTGCACATCCCACACTGGGGATAGAACCTGCATGCCGGGCATGTGCCCTGACTGGGAATCGAACCGTGAACTCCTGGTTCATACGTAGATGCTCAACCACTGAGCCATGCTGGCCGGGCAACATGATCTATTTTTTAGGATCTTGTTCAGGAAGGCTGTGCCAGCCTTGTATAGTAGCTGAAGTGACTTTGGCATTTTTAACAGAAAGGATGATGAAACATACAGGTTTCCAATTTAATGCCTGGAGGTCCTGGATATCCATAGTTAGGTTGCTATAACAAATGAATCATTAAAAAAAAATACACACCGCCGAAACCGGTTTGGCTCGGTGGATAGAGCGTCGGCCTGCGGACTGAAAGGTCCCAGGTTCGATTCCGGTCAAGGGCATGTACCTGGGTTGCGGGCACATCCCCAGTAGATATGCAGGAGGCAGCTGATCGATGTTTCTCTCTCATCAATGTTTCCAACTCTCTATCTCTCTCCCTTCCTCTCTGTAAAAAATCAATAAAATATATTTTAAAAAAAATACACACCTTAAAAGGCACAAATCAACATTTTCTTAAAGCAGTAAATGATATTTTAAATAATTGTTAACTAATCTGTTATTCAAATTTTTCTTAATTTTGTGAGAAAATAACTACCTCAGTATATGGTTGTTAATTAACTGCATTATGCACTTCAGTATCTGTTCTTAAATAATCTAGGACGTTTGCATTTATGGCTGATCTTTTCTCTCCATTTTGTTTGTTTTCTTTAGTTTCATGCTATGGATACATTATATAGACACAGCTATGACTTGAGCAGTGCAATAAGTGTCTTAGTGCCACTTGGAGGACCTGTTTTATGCAGAGATGAAATGGAAGAATGGTCAGCCTCTGAAGCTACTTTATTTGAAGAGGCACTGGAAAAATATGGCAAAGACTTCAATGATATACGTCAAGACTTTGTAAGTAGAAAATTGTGAATGATATAAAATGTTGAGGTTGGGGATATTTTATTTGTTTTAGAAATCTGTGACTTAGTAATTTTTATCTGCTCAACATAGAATGAAGGCCAGTATTAATTATAAAGGGAGAAATTGACATTTATTCTCGGAATTAATTGTGAATAAGACCCAGGGCCAGGAGGCCTTGAGTTCTTGCTGTAAACCTTGGCAGTATGAATTCATCCTCTTCACCTTTCTGAGGTCTAAGTTTAAAATACGGACAGATTGTCTAACCATTTGCACTAAATATATCTAATATATCTAATTCCTGCCTCTTAAGCTCGTTGCCCTCCTTTAGACCTTCAGTGTTTTTCTAGTTGTCTAATTGTTGAGCCTGAAATTTTGATGTGGACCTTTAATGTGGAAACAACCTGTAAAGCAGAGTAGGAGAATTTGCTTTATAGGCTTTCTATCTTTGACTCCTCTTAATGATATGCAGTATCTAATTTGCCTTTTAAATATTAGATAGTCTTTTCTCCTATTATGTACTTCCTTTTGTCTTTGTGGAATTGCTCTAATTAAGTTTATAATCGCTTTGAAATGGAGAAATTTCCATTTGAGAAGTCTATAAATAGATTTCTATAGCAGCCATTCTTTATAAAAAGTTATGAAAATAGAATCTTTATAGACTATGAAGTATTTGATGCAAGTTAATATCCTGCCTTTTGTGTTGTTGAATTTTTGTTTGAATTATTCCTGAAGAAAAATTATTACTATCAATATGGATACATTAAATTCCAAACATGATAATTAATTAATTAGTGTCACTAACATTTGTTCTTCTGGCAAAACTTCATTCTTACGCAGATTGTTATATGTCATGATTTCAATTTATAGGAGGTGCAGGTGAGGATTTAAAATGCATTGGTGGCATTTAGCTTCAGATGGTCAGAATAATGCACCAGTGTGATGTTATTACTATGGTATATTAATGTACCATACCACTAAATAGAAACCACAAAAACAAAGCCCCCTAAAGAACAAAATCCACAGGTCTGACAAAGGAATAGAAGGAGAAACATTAAAGTGAAACTACTTTCCCTGCACTGAGTGTGACATGCTCATTTTATGTTCTAGTAATTCTGGACCCATTTCAATTCAACAAATGTCTGTTGAGCATCTGCAGCATGCCAGGCCTTCAGGTAGGCACTAGGCATGCAACAGAAGCATAACGTTACTTTAGGGAATGAGTTCATAGTCAACATCAAGTGATTGAAGCACATACACCAATTAATATAAAATGTAGTCATTTCTGTCAGCACTATGAATAAGTATTATGGGGTATTGGGAGGGGAACTATCAGTTGTGCCAGTCAAATCAGAAATGGCTTCACAGAGTTAACTGGCATTTCAGCTGGATCTCTTAGGTAAAGGGAGAAAACAGCAAATTGAAAAGTATACATGAGGTATGATAGCATTCCCAGGCACCTAACACAGGACTGGGAAGTAACTCGCTGAAGAGTAACTTGGTGCAATATACTCAGACACAGAGGCTGACACTGATATGAGATAAAAGAACTGTATGAAAATGAGTATGACAGTAATAATGCTGTTAGATGGTTTTTGTTACCTTCAAGATTTAACAAAATTCTTGTAAATTTGCATTGTGGTATATATTAGTTTTGCTGAGGGTAGTTATATTGCTTGTTGATTAGCCAATCACATTAGGTTTGTAGTATTTTGGAGACTGAAATTTTCCACCAGTGTCAAAAACCTTAAAGAATATATGATACCAGGAGGCTGACTGCCCAAAGGGTTTAAGTTTTTCTGTAGTTTGGAGTGTTTTTAAACTAATTATTCACCTTCACCCCCTAATACTGGTAAAAGTAATACATAAACCTGAAGACCATATATGACAAGCCCACAACTAATATCATATGCGGTGGTGAAAGACAGAGGTACATGAAAAGTACTCAACACCACTAATCATTAGGGAAATATAAATCAAAACCACAATGAAATATCACCTCATATCTGTTAAGACAACTATTATAAAAAAGACAAGAGATAACAAGTGTTGGCAAGAATGTAAAAAGGGCTTGGCATTAATTCTTCATTAAATGTTTGATGGAATTCACCAGCAAAGAAATCTGGTCCTGGGATTTTCTTTGATCAGAGGTTTTTGATCCCTGATTAGATCTCCTTCTTAGTTATAATCTATTCCGATTTTCTATTTCTTCATGATTCAGTCTGGGTAGGTTTTATGTTTCTAGGAATTTATCCATTTTTTCTAGGTTATCTAATTTGTTGGCATATACTTGTTCATAATAGTCTCTTAACATAAGCCTTTGTATTTGGGTCTTCTTTTTTTTGCTTAGTCTAGCTAAAAGTTTTGTCAGTTTTGTTTTATCTTTTCTAAAAAATAGCCCCTAGTTACATTGATCTTTTCTATTTTTATAGTTTTCACTTCATTTACTTCTGCTCTGATCTTTGTTATTTCCTTCCTTCTGCTAATTGGATCCACTCTCTTTCTCCTCCCATCCCCCCTGGATAATTCCTAATGACCTGTCTTTTAGTTCACATATTCTTTTTTTCTGCTTAATCAAGTCTGTTGTTGATGTTCTGTATTGTATTTTTCATTTAATTAATTGTATTTTTCAGCTTTAGAATTTGTTAGGTTCCTTTTCATTATTCTTTGTTGAACTCATTTTGTTTGTATATTGTTTTACTGATTTTATTGCATTGTCTTTCTGTACTTTCTTATAACTTATTGAACTTCCTTAAAACAATATTTTTTAAATTCTCTTTCAGGCAAGTAGTAGATATCCAGTTCTTTGGGGTCAGTAACTAGAAAATTATTGTGTTTCTTTGGTGTCATGTTTCCTTAGTTTTTCATGTTTCTCATGGGCCTGTGTTGATGTCTGTGGATTTGATAGAGCAGTCACCATTTCCATAATTTACAGGTGGTTTTGGTGGGGAAAGGCCTTCACCAGCAGGTGGTGCAAGGGCACTGGCTTATTGGGGCCTGATGTTTCCAGCTCCCAGGTAGGTCAAGTGGCATAGTCACATTCAGCTCCGTCAGCTGAAGTCAATGTTGCTAAAGATTGCAAGGGTCCTCCATGGTGTCTGCATTGGTAGTGAGGACTGTTACAGTCTTCAGTGACAACGGCTGCTGGGGAACTTCCTGATCTCTTTTCTCCCAGGGGGCTATGTCATAGCCAAGGGATCCCTCTTGGCAATGGGTCTGGCTTTGGAGGGACCTTTGGTGGTATTGGTGTGAGGCATGGACACACTTGGATCCGTCACGGAGCCAGGAGTAGATCATGTATGCTCCTTGAGGGGCTAAGTGTAGGGTCTAGGCTGCTGGCCAGTTTCCATGGCTCTGGTACCTGAGATGTGTGCACATATGGAACAGCTGTGGAGCTGAGGTCTGAAGCACAGGTACATGTGGAGCAGCCAGGACTTTGGGGTCCAGGGTATGCACAGAGTTGGAGGTAGGGGCTGGCAGCCCTGTTCCAGGGGGCACAGCAATGTCTTCTGGGAGTGACCCAGCAGCATCTCCTAGCGGCAGCAATAGCTGTTGGTTACCTCAGTGTCAAAAGGTGCTAGTTTTCTCTGCAGAGCAGGCTGCTGTGGTCCATGCCAGCATACACTGTGGAGCCCTGTGCTGGGAAAGCTGCAGGAATTCTGTCCTGGGGGCTGTATGAGTGGCAAAGGCTGCCGGGCCCTCTGTAGAGCAGGTCACTGGGGACCTCAGTGGCACACACCTCATGGCTCATATTGATAGCCTCCACAGTGATCCTTTCTGTGTGGTAATTCATTAATTGCTCCACCGTGTTGCTGTAGGTTCTTAATTTGAGTCTTGTGCCCTCCCAGGGCTATTTTTGTTTGTTGATAGCAGTCTATTTACTGTTTGGTTGTTTGTTTGTTTTTGGGTGGGGGGGAGGGGGCAGACCAAGACTGGTAGCTCCTATTCCTCTATCTTGCTCCCATCCACTTTAAGTTGTCTAGTTTGCTGTCATAAGGTTGTTCATAATAGTCCTATTACCCTTCTAAGGCCTTATATGGACACATGTGCTAATGTGTCCTCTCATACTCCTGATGCTGATGATTTAGCTCTTCTCTCTTTTTCCTTCATCAGTCTGGCCTTAGGGCTTTCTCAATTTTATTGATCTTTGCAAAGAACCAGCTTTTGGTTTGATTGATTTTCTGATTCATTAATTTCTGCTTTTATGTTTATTATTTCCTTCCTTCAGCTTGCTTTGGACTAATGTGCTTTGTCTTTTCCTAGTGTCTTTTTAAGCTTGAATCTTAAATCATTTATTTGAAACATTTCTTGTAATGCAATCATTTATTGGTAGCATATGTTTAGCTAGTAATGATTTATTTCAGCTTTGCCTGAAAAAGATATTTCCTCTATAAAGATATTTCATTCTTTCTAGAATTCATTTATTTTCTTTCTTAATACTCTAAAGATGTTTATTTGGTTTATGCAGCTTCTGATGAGAAAGTTCCTCTATATGTAAATGTTTCTTTTTCTTTGTGTTCAAGATTTTTCTTTACTCTTGGTTTTTAGTAGTTTTACTACTACATTTTGCCTGGGTGTGTTTTTATTTGTAATTATTCTACCTGTAGTTCACTTAGTTTCCTAGAGCTGAGATTTTCTGTTTGTGCGTTAGTTTGCATAATTTGTATTGATTCGTCTTCTAGTACACTAATGCTTTTCTTGGCTATATCCAGCAAACTGATTAACTTGTTAAAGGAATTCTTCAAACATGATAGCATGTTTTTTTTTTCACATGTATACTTTATTCTTTTTTATGCTTTCTATCTGTGTTTAAATTCACCATCTGTTTGTGTTGTCCACCTTTTCAACTGGATTCTTTGTTATAATTATCATAGTTTAATATCTGATACTTCCAAAATGTGGGTCATATTGGAGTCTATATCTGTTGCCTGATTTATTTCTTGAAAATGGGACATTTATTTTCATGCTGTTTTTTAATGTCTTCTATCTTTGAG